CAGCCGAAGATGAGCGCCTTCTTCACGAAGCGGGAGAGCTGACCACGCGCGGCAGCTGGCACGTGACCGCGACTCCGCGGGTCGTCACTGAGCTTTTTCAGTGTATGTAGCTCTTACGTACATTCCCGGAGGAGGACTGCTGACGGGGTTTGCGATGAGAAGCGATCCGAACGTGGCATTCGGGTGATCAGATCACTGCTTTTTGAAGTGAGAAGTCGTCTCGCTTGCTCTGACAGACCGCCCAGAGCTCAGCTGATCGCCGTGACTCACACCGGGACGCTGGTGAGGTGACGGTGGGAGGGCACCCCCCAGACAGCGAGAGAGAGAGAGAGAGAATTCTTGATACGAAACCACGACGACACACACCAGTCGACTCGCATCGGTTGCCTCCGTGAACGGCGGAGCTATTCTCGCGCCCACACCACACCTGGCTCCAACGTGGACACGCCCATAGCTGGGGACACTACTAGGTCACGCATGGCATCACAGAAGTTTTATCTCTGGGCCCCGAAAGGCATCTCTAGCAGTGTCGTTACACATGCCCCCTCCCCTCCTGGGCGCATGCGCCTCACGTCTCGCCAGAGCATAAGCCCTTGGCGTGTGGCGAGACGAGTTTTTCGCCATGCAGCGAGCAGCAAGCCGCCCGCCGCAAACAGCCGGAGGCATCGCCGCGGCACTGACTGCGCCGCGGTCCCGCACCCGTCGACGCAGCTCCCCCCGCGGAAGACCGCGCGTAGCGACGTCTTGACGATCGAGATGAGCGTGCCTGAAGCTCGCCCACCTACTGCCCCTGAGAGTTGGTTATGAGTGGGCTCGGCTCCCCCCCTTGGGATCGAAGCTTCCACGACCTCACACCCAACATTCCAGGCGGGATCAGAAGGGGACTCCACACCGGACACCGCCCGGGCACAGACCCCCTACCCGTCGGATCGCACAGGGCCCCCTCGGAGCAGCCCACACACAATCACGCATCGGCAGATTGAGTGCCTGAGTCAGGCAGACAGCACAGACAAGAGGAGAGAGAGGAGAGAGAGAGAGAGAGAGAGGAGAGAGGAGAGGGTGAGGGTGTGAACACACGCGAGGAGTGGGGGAGGGTGTCTGTGGTGGGCTGTAGTCCTACTACGTGGTTACAACCACGCGCCCCTCAGGAGCTTAAGGTAGAGCTGAGCGTCCAAGACGCCTCGGTGCCTCCCACCGGCGTGAGACCATCCGGATCTACCGGGCGCGCCTCCGGCGGGCCCGTCCCCGCGATGGCCCACGGTCCTCCGTCGCCTGGTTGAACCCCCTGCCTCCCGGTTGACCCCCCGGTCCCCGTACACGACCATGAAATAAACTCAAAGTCCACCACAGCCACCAGCCTCCACCTCCACCCGCGAGCCGCCACCGCTGCCGCCCGCGACGCCGCCCGCCGCGTCAGATAGCCGCGACGCGCGCACCGAGTCGAGTCGGAGAGCCGCACCGCACCAGCAGCAGCATCTGCACCACCAGCAGCAGCAGCAGCACCACCACCACCACCCGAGAGAGAAGCGCACCTGCCCGACGCCGCCCGCCGCGTCAGACGCTCGCGACGCGCGCGTCGAGCCCAGTCGCACAGCCGCGCCGCGCCAGCAGCAGCATCGGCACCAGCAGCAGCAGCACCACCACCACCAGCATCAACAGAGACAGGCAGTGCAGGCGCAGAGGCGCTCGCAGAGCGGCGCTCAGCGCCGCGCACGCCACGCCGCGGACCGTCGGACGAGCGCACCGTACGTCGGCGGCGAGCCGCGTCGCCAGCCGTCTCGCGAGAGAGCGGCGCCGCCGCGTGCGCGCAGCAGCCGCCGCGGCAGAGGCGAGCCGCGGCGACGTCCGCACTAACGGATAACGGCCATTGGCGGTTGCTCTCTCTCTCTCTCTCTCCCAGACAGCCCTCCCGGTGGATGGGGACGCCCAGGGATCTACACGTACAATGCTCCTCCGGATGATGCCACGACGGATGATCTCGGGAAATCTGTCCGTGCCCCTCTTCCGCTGTTGTCGGGCGAGAAGGTCCAACCAACAGATCCAACCAGCCGCGCCGCGCGGTACGATGCGATGCGTATGAGGCGACCGCTCAACCTGCTGACACATGGGCTGAGAGCGATGAGGAGAGCGTCTCTCGGCATTGCTGTGGTCACGCCGACCGTGGCTGTGCCGGTCGTGCTGGCCATCTACCTCTCCAGCGGCATCACAGCTACCGAAGTCTGTGAAATCTCGCCCTCGTGGGACAGGACCTGGGAGTCCCCAGCGGCGCGGGAGGCGCTGTTGCGCGAGTCGGCGGCCTCGAGGGCGCGGGCCGCCGGCGTCAAGTTCTGCAGCTATCGCTGGGACGGCGCGATTCCGACCGTCTCCATCGTGGGTGCGGACCCGGACCTGTGCCACCCGCTGTTCAGGGCGTCACTCCTCGTGGCCAGTACCTTTGGCGCGGTCGGCTACCGAGACCTGCATGCCAAGGGCGGCGTTGCCTATATCGCCGCGCACGCGAGCAGCTCCACGGCCGAGCGAGGCAGGAGGGCAAACGCGTCCCTGCTCGCCCTCGCGTGGGCGTCCATGGTCTGCCTCGCGCTCGCGGGGGTCATCAACGTGACGCACTTCAACGCGGCGCACAACGGATGCGCCCTCGGGTTCTACGTTACCAACTCGGGCCACACGTGGGCGCTCTGGAGGATGCAGAGGGTAGCGGCGCACCGGACCCGCCGCCGGCTCGGCGACGCTCCGCCGTCGCTCGCGGGACGGTGGTGCCTGCAGGTGGACCCAAAGGCGCACCGGCCCGGCTCCTCCTCGCTCAAGGAGTGGATGGCCGTTTTGTGGACCATGTGCTTCGGCGGCGCCCTCGTTGTGCTCGGCCAGGTCTTCGCGCCCGTCTCGTGGGCGACTTGGTTCTCCTCCGCTGCGGTGCTCGAGTGGCTCGCCACCGAGCTCGTCAACACGTCGGTACTCATACACTACTTTGATATGCGTCAGCTGCGGCTGCTCGAGGCCAAGCTGTCCTACGGCCAACCCTGAGCGCTGCCTATTACCGTACTCGAGCTACTGTCTCGCCGAGAAAGCAGTGCCGTACAGCGTACAGTACACGGTCTACCGTCTACTGTGTTTTACTCGTGTGTTTCGCTGTGCACGTGTGTGACATTCGGCTTTACAACTTACATGCTCAACGCGCAAAACTCTCTCTCCACGTGTGCACGAAAACGCACACGCACGGTGTCTCAGTCCTCACGTGTCACGACGGTGGGACAGACGGCAGAGACCACACCCGGACACGGAGAGTCGAGAGACGAGCGGCGAGGCGTATACGCGACGCCGCGACTCGATCACGCACTGTTTCCATTCTGAGCTTACGTATAACACATACACACGCGTGCCGTTACTCTATGGAGCGCGGGCGAGGTACGAAAAAGTCCGTCGCTCGCCGTGTCTCACACCCTCAGCAGCCCGCTCTCGCTCTCGTTCCCGCGCGGAAGAGGCTGAAGCCTCGTGGCAGCCCCGCGCCACGCGTTGGGAGGCGGCGCAGCCACGGCCGCGATGCGCGGAAGGCGGGCGCCGAGCGCAGCTCGGCGTCCATCGCCTTGCACACCAGCAGAAAGGGCCGCCGCTGCGCCAGGCCGCCGAGCTGCCGCAGCAGCGCCTCGAGAGAGCTCGGCGCGAGCGGGTTGAACATAAAAAAGACGTCGGCTGCCGCGGGCGGCAAGCGCGACCGGCCGAGGGTGCGAGAGACGCAGCGGTAGCGGCGGCGGCGGCGGCCTCCGGCGAGCCTCGCCAGCATCTCGCGCCCGAGGGCGGCGCGCGCGCCCACCACCTCGTAGCCGTCGCACGAGACGTCTGGACGCCGGAGCGCGGCGACGAGCAGCGCGCGGCCGGAGCCGCAGCCGAGGTCGGCAAACGAGCCACCACGAGGGACTAGGCTGACCACCGCCGCGAGCTCCGCGTAGGGTGTGAAGCTCTCCGCGGGCGGCCGCAGCAGGTGCGTGTGCTCGAGGTCGTACCTCCGGAGCGCTGCCAGCGGCGCGGCGCCAAGGCCGCGCAGCACGCGCGCCTCGTCGATGCCGGCCACCACGTCGAGGAGCAGGTCGATGTCGAGCTCGCTCGATGTCGGCTCCTCACACGCGGCGTTGAGGATCGCCGCCGCCGTCCGCCGCAGCGCGGCATCGCCCGCCGGCGAGAGGTCGGCCGCGGTGACGCCGGCGCGGCGCAGGCACGCGGCGAGCTGCGGGTGCAGCCACGCAGGGCCATCCGCCGGCAGCTCGAAGTACGGCGAGTACATCACCGGGACCTGTCTGGCTATGCTGGAGCCGCGCGCCGTGGGACAGTATCGCCCCCCCCCCTCCCGGGGGAGCCTTTTGCCGGAAGAGAGTTGGCTCGTGAGGTTTTGATTTTTAGCAATACCAAACAACTCTAACACTCACACGCACACTTGAGGTTTTGTGCCATGTGGGACCTAGTAGAGCGAGCAAAAGAGCTTGCCAGGGATGTCGCGCTATTCCTTCGCCGCGGCAACCCAGGCAGGAGACGAGGCACGGGTGGGCGACGCCGACGCGGACGAAGGCGCATCTAGCTCAGGCTGGAAGGCTGAGATTGAGTCCATCACCAACGGTGCGGCCGGCCGAGCGGTCCCGTCGCAGCCCAGGCTGGAAGGCTGAGATTGAGTCCATCACCAACGGTGCGGCCGGCCGAGCGGTCCCGTCGCAGCCCACCAAGCAGGTGCGCAAGTCGCCCGCGTCGGAGGCTCCGAGGCCATCATGTTCGGCAGCGCAGAAACGCCCCAATGCGCCGCCCAGAGCCCTGAATTCGCAGAGCGGTGCGACGCCGTAGCCTCTATGATGTGCTGCGCGCGCTAGGCGCACCCTGGCGCCGGGTGCACCCGGACCCACCCGGAGGGGCCCGGGAAGAGGGTCTAGCGGCCCTCCAGCGGCCCCCCAACGCCCCCCCCGCGGCCCTGATTTGGTAGGTATATCACACAAATGATGGGTCACTATAATACCCACGACTCAGGGTACCGGAGCGTCGCTGAGCCTCCTCGCGGACGCGGAACTG